ACACACACACACACAGCCTCTCGACAATATGCGTTTTTGCTGGCTGTAGCAGCGCTATAGCGCTTTCAAATCAAGGAGATTGTTATTTTTATGCGTTTTCGCTGTGTAGCGCTGCTATAGCGCATAAAAATAACAATCTCTTTGATTTGAATCAGTCATTTTTCTACCCAGTGCTCTTCTTTGCATACCGAATTTGCCTACATAAATTTCGGATTGCCCAAGCCAACCCTGAATCGCTGAGGATGGCTAGAGAAACTATGGTGCTGTAGTTGAATAGTTCAAAAGAGAGTCTGCAATCAAGCACACCAGCACCGCAAACTGTTAGAGCAGTTTGAAGGTCATCAAAGTTAGCTAGAGAGTTGTTAAATTTTCGTCTGAGAGTTCTCATCATGAGGTAACTGAAAAGAGATTTTAGTCAGAAAATGGAAATGAATACAAAAGTAGTTATTGTACTTCGAAAGGTCCCCTGGTCAGCGTAAGAGCCGTGGCATTTCCTCTTCAGCACATACATTTGCTCGTGTATCGCTGCTTATTGTTACGAAAATTTAACCATCAGGTTCGCGGCATTTTCGCGATAGAGGGGAATAGTCCCCCTCCCTTGCTTCCTTGTTTGATTCAAGCGAACCAAGCAGCTGTCGTGAACGGAGCCCTTTTTTGAAAACATCTACAGACCGGGAGGGAATCGAACCACTTCCCTTCGCATCCGGACGCGATACCACCGAGCTTCGTGCTCCACCTACTTTAGTGGAGCAAATTCATTCTAGATATATAGCATTCCCATACATACTCTACACCTCTGGTTGCTGCACCTAGCGTAGGACACCATCTCAACCGGCTTTTTGCGGGTTTTCCACGATAGCGGCTGAAGAAAACGGGCATGTGGGCACAGAAATGGATTGACCCACCGGTGGAATGACTTTTTTAATCAAATGAATAAAAATGCAAAGTTTCAGCTATAACTCTGTGTTGATAAATGAGAGAGTCTGTAAAGCAAAAGTAAAGAAACGGTGAATGCAGGATTATTTAAAGCTGCGGTCACCTCACGCAGTTTTTGTCGCTTCCATTGGCACTCCTCACTTTCCGGAAGATGAAATACGCGTCGTGCTGTGCAGCGAGAGACAGCAGCTGCTGACTGGTCACCGATTCGGAAATGTATATCTCAGGCCAAATACCTTTCACTTTCCGACACTGGTCAGTGTTCCGTGCAGCGAAATCCTCCACTGTTGTGTTCTCAAGCAGCGGAATGTCTAAATGTGGCAACACTTCGCATTTCCAGGAAACTGCTTTTCTGTCCCACCTCTCTCGCTCTTCATCGGCAAAGTTATGCACGTATTTCGGTGTTGACTTGCTTAAATCCATAAATTCCATATACGATGGGCTGTGCAACCACCGCATGTAACTTTCGTCATTAGTGTTCTGCAACGAAAATTTTTATGATATGCGCCATTATTAGGAAATCGAAGTGCTTGCGCAGAGCCTACTGGCATTGCGCGTCTCCAAAACTAAGTCTTAAAGTTTCATGGTGTTTCGGAAATTGCACTAAAATTTCACAATTAGGTACCCTTCCAGTGTCTTTTTCAGTGAATACTCAAATTTCACAGCATGTTTTCGAAGTGTTTCCTAAATTTCAACACTCTGGATTTGAATTCTTCACAATGTCTTTTTATTGGCATATATGTAAAACAGCATAGGTAACGGTAGGAAGGACTGCTAACTTCGACGAAAGGAATCAGTAGCGCAGCAACACCGAAGTGCTGTTACTCCAGCCTTAGTAAAAGTACCGTGATGAACTTATCCACAGAAAATAACTAACCTGTTTCCTTTTTTTAGTAGCAACTTTTGCGCATCGGTTAATCACAAAGCATTCTAAAGTGATGTCCCGTCCTGATGGTTTTGCATTGAGGACTTCTTCATCACGATCGCCAATTTCGCATTTTTCAAATGCTTCATTTTCCTTATTTTCGGCCATTTCTGCTAGGTACCACTGTCTTGCGCCAGAACGTACTCTGCCACTTCTGGGGCAAACTCTAAACCTCCGCTGTCGCTTCTCCTGAGCCAGTTTCCTTAAAAATTAACTGTAAGTTACAGTCCGCATTAAACATTCGAAAAACATTAATTTAAGAATCAGGAAGTTGATAAAAATTTTGTAGCATAGGAAAGAAACATTCGGGTGAGGAAAACGATGGGGATACGCAATCACAGCTAGAAAACATAAAAATTGGCCAACGCACGGGCTGCCCGTGCGAAGATGCGTTTTTTGCAGAGTTCCCCG